ATGTACTGAAGTAGGGGTGAGGGGAGCAAAGCGGACTCCGAAGCCCCACCCCAAGCCAGAGAGCAGGTGAAAGTGTCAGGAAAACTGGGATCTCACCAAGGGGCACAACTGCTCTGCCTACATTCTTAGAAACAAGGCGTCCTACCCTCAGATCCACCCACCTTCCCCGGATATTGTTCAGGGGCCAGGAACTTAGCTGAGGAAAAAAACTGAACCTCACACTGAAATTTAATATATCCTTCAATTATGAATTGGGCAAAACGCTGTGATAGTGGAAACTGTGACTTCATCATCGGTGAAAATTATAAATATTTGATATCACAACTGTCACAGAGATCTCAGATCATATGGTCGTCGTTACTTTGAAAGTACGGTGATTATTAGTCCCGCTGCTAGATCTTACTATGCTAATTAAGAAGCACATGCATTTCTAACTCGTTTACTTTTTTAAATATTTTGATGCCTGTACTTTGATGATTTATTCCTTCGAAGTCCTTCTTTCAATTTTTTGTATATTTGAAAACATTCAAATAAAAAGGTTGAAGATCACACAGCTCTGGAAGCTCAAAGAAGGGACAGGTGCCAGTGGGCTAGGCTAGGCAGAGGGTTTCCCAGAGGAGCCGGGACAGAGGCCTCCTTCTCACGTGATTGAAAAGATTCCATGGAGCATTTCAATACAGTCCTTATCTGGGGAGAGGGGACAGGATTTTGCAAAAGTGGAAGAACAAGGAGGCTTCTTTGGCTTCTCTTGTGTCCTCCTCAGCAAGGGCTCCCTTGGGAAAGAATCTGAGAAGCTACTTCATACTGAAAGATAAAAGACGGGTGACGATCTCCTTTCAGCAGGATTTTCATTCACGAGACTCGGAGCATTGAGGAGCACACAGAGCAGCCCTGTGGGTAGAAGGCGGCTGGGGTGCACACTGGCTGATATGTGCCTCTCCCTGGCCCCCACACAGAAACCCAGTGGGCAGGGGTTAGAACAGGCAATTCCAGGGGAGCCCAGTGGAGCCCAAGGAAGAGGAAAAACTCTGCTCTGAGCAGCAGGAACAAGGCTGCTGAAAAGTCTTGGAACAGAGCCTGGGGACCAGATCCCTAGAGCAGGGCTACAGCACGGGAGTCACGGAGGATCTGCTGAAAGTAGATTCTGACTCAGCTGATCTTAGGTGGGACCTGGTGCTCAGCATTCATAACCTCGACCTCCAGACGCTGAGTAGCATCGCTTTCCTCCACATATACTCCCTTGCGACTGTATCCCTTCATCCCTGAGAGCAAACATGCTGGCTCGAAGAGGGTAGAAGCCCCAGCCTAACCCCTAAATCTGTTTTCAGTGGGGCAGGGTGGGAAGGTGTGAGTGCTCCTACTTTCTTGGAGCAGGCAAAAAGTGAGCCCAGCCTCCATTAGAGGGAGGCACATAGCTTCAGACCAGAAGCCACACCCTGAGGCAGAGGAGGTCAACAGCTGTGGTCCTAGGACTTCCTCTCTGGCTGCATGGAATCACCATCTGTCTCTACCACTGCTCTGCACCATCTTGTCCCCACCCAGTGACTTGCCTGGGCTGCTGCTAAGATTGTTATGGGTGGGTTCCTGGCTCCCATTAATCTATAGGCCATAAAGATGGTCACTTCTAAAACCCTTAGGAAAAAATACCCAGGCATACCTGCCTTAGCACCCGCTGCAACTTTGTCCCTTCAGACACGGTCGCCATGTTCCCATCTCATACCAACAGAGCCCAGTGCAGTGCAGCACACCACAGACTGCCTCACCCATCAGCCCTTACTCCCTCCCCACTGCTCCTGACATCCCAGCCCTCTCCCAAGACCTCCTTGACTTGACTGTTGCACCTCTGCTCTCAGGTTTACAGACCATGGCCAGAGCCCCCACCCAATCTTAGATATCCCCACTACTGAGGGCAAGGGAAACTCGGCTTGCTTCAGCCACTTGGACCAGTCCCACACACTCCAGTCCCTGCCAAGGTACGGAGACCTTTGTGAGCCCACCCCTCTCCCCTATGGGACGATGGTGGGAAACCCATGGACAGCAAATGTGGGTGATTTCACACAGGAGGCCTCCGTGCTAAGACACTGCCCCCTTCCACAGGTGAGTTCAGTGTCTCCCGGAAAGGGACCTCAGACCTCACTCCCAGAGCACCCGCCACAGCCAGGTGACCCCATGCCGTCCCTGGCTGTTCTGTGTTCTGCGAGGACACCCATCTGCTCCCCTCTGCTTTGTGTTTTGAGGCAAGAGCGTCTCTGGTCCAGCTCCTTCAGAGTGGACCCCAGTGTCCTGAAGTGGGGGGAGGGGTCCCTGGACACACAGGCTGGGGTGGGTGGGACAGGCTGGCTCTTCAGCTAGTGGATAGCACATGATCCAGTGCCTCAAGCCTTACTGAGAGCTTTATCTAGTTTGCTTTTCATTGTGTTGATCCTCTTAACCACTCTAGGTAAGTTATTTTAGTTTGGGGTTTGCTTGTTTGTGAGATAGGGTCTCACTATGTTGTCCAGGATAGCCTTGAATACACTATGTAGCTCAGGCTGGCCTTGAACTCATAGTGATCCTCCTGCCTCAGTCTCACAAGTGCTGGGATTACAGGCGTGTGCCAACACACTGGGCTATTTTAGTTACTTTTTAGATGAGAAACTGAAGTTTAGAAATTTTAAGGGTAAAGAGTAGCAGGCCCAGAATGTCAACTCAGGTCTGCGCAAGTCCAAAGCTCATGCCCATTCCTCACCCAAGGCTAGATCTTTATCCCCACTTCCGAAACAAAGACAGGCAGCAGAGCTGTTCTCACACCTTCTGAAAAGCTCTAAGGAGGGTCTGAGAGAAGGCCAAGGTCTCACACAAGGGACCCAAGCAGTGTGCAGGGAGTGCCAGGTCATGCTGTAAATGTCCCAGGCCCGCCTTCCATCAGGAAAAAAATTCAAGAAGGGCTGACAGGGCCACAAAGCCAGGGGGACACAAGCAGTGGCCAGCCATGGAGGGCTCCATCTTGCCCGAGTTGAGGTGGCTATCTTCAAGGACTGCCTCCCTTCCCTTCCCAGGTGCCAATACAAGGTCCCTCCACCTATGAGCTGGTCACCAAGACCGTCCAGAGGGCCAGCTCTGGGAAAAGGGTTGGTGCCTAGGAGCCACAAAGCTCTTGGAAGGAAAGAATAGTATTTCCTTTTCAACAGGCAGGATAAAGTGCATCATTTCCAGAAGACCAGGGAAACTATTTCTAAGCTTGGACCTGGGGCATTTTCAATTGTTAGCTCATTAAATTTTCAGATTCAAGGGAAAACACTGTGTATTCTCCTAGAGAATGATGCCATAATTTGAAATTGGCTAAAGAATGATCCAGCCAGGCAAAATGGCACACATCTGTAGTTCCAGTACTCTGGGAGGATAAGGCAGGAGGATTGAATTTTCAAGCCCAGCCTGGGCAATTTAGCAACACAAGATCCTGTCTCAAAAGATTTTTTAAAGGCTCATAAATGGGATGTGGTGACACATGCCTAGAACTCAGGCAGCTCAGGCAAGACCACCCTGGGATACATAATGAGTTCAAGGCCAACCTGAACTGCATAGCAAGACCTTGTTTCAAAAAAAGGGAGGGGGTGGGGGGTGATAGAGTCCAGTGAAAAGTCACTGGGTTCATTCTCTAGTAAAAGGGCAATAAGGGAGAGTGATTCCATTGAAAAGGAAAAAAATGCCTCAACAGGGATAGGGACTTTGCATACTGAGAATCTATCCTGAAAAAGGGATCAGAGTAAGCCAGGAGTGGTGGTACATGCCTAAATTCCCAGCACTATGGGAGGCTGAGGCAAGAGGATTGCAGGTTCAAGCCCAGCCTAGACAACTCAGTGACTTAGCAAGACTCTACATCAGAATAAAAAATAAAGGGTTGGGGCTGTAGCTCGGTGTGATAGCCCTGGGTTCAATTCCCAGTACTGCAAAAACAAACAAGGTGAACAGGGGACAGCAAAGGATGGTCACACACCTGTGGTAAGGGAAAGCAGATGCAAACATCTGTACAAAGCTGCCACGTGGTCAGAGAGAGGCCCATGCGGACAAAACCAAGCACGTCATTTTGTTTTATTGGTCATATATCCAGAATTCATTATATAAATTTTTCAAAATAATGAGATATTACAAGAATAGTTTACAAGTCAGCTCTGATTGCACAAAACTTAACACAGGAAACCGTTTTTACAAATAACATGTTTTCTTATAAGAATACTTTAATAAAGAAAATAAGTATCTATACATCTTGCAGCAAATTTTACACAATTTCTTTTTCCCATTCAACTATCATTTTGGCTTTTCCATTACAGCATGTCTATCATATCCAACAAACCAAATTCCCATCTGTGGCTTCTTCTTGCTTTCAAATACTACTGAGATTCACACTGTTAAAGAGATTAGAGGCTTTGAAAGCATTCATGTATTCAGGCCAGAAGAGGTAATTTCAACAACATTCCTTTAAGGGAGAACTTGGATCAGGGCTGGGGTGCACTGCAGCGGCACAGCACTCACCTAGTGTATGTGTGTGACCCCAGGTTCCATGCCGAGTACCACAAAAGAAAAACAAAGGACTTGGATCAGCTTAATCACCATGCTTGGTGGAAGGTCTTTCCACTTCCCATGTAGGCTAGAGCAGCTAACAACTTGGACCTCCCTTACCAAGTCCGTACATTCCTAAACCACAAAAAGGAAACCCTGGAAATAAGAATGAACTACAGGGCCAGGGATTTAGTTCAGTGGAGCCACCGCCTACCTCAAAAGTGCAGGGACCCGAGTTTGATCCCTGGTACAAAAAAAAAAGAAATACAAATATTAAGAAAACTAAAAACATGTGCTACTGATGAGAGAACACTTTTAAATTCAAAATCTCTCCTAGGATGAAGATCATAGAAAAGAAAGTATGAGGGTGTGACAGTGGTTAGATAAAATACTGAAAATCCAAACAAGGTTAATGACTTAGGCCAGTGGTGTATCATTTCCACATGCCAGAAACTACAGTATCTTAGACTCTGCAGTCAGCTGGACCCAGTATTTGACATTCTTATGCTGTGCTTTGACACAGCCTAATAAATAGCTACTCGCCCCAAGCAGGTGCTCATCTAGGCCATGGGAGTTTTGCAAACACCAGCCATGCTGTGTGAGTATCCCACAGGGGAGACTCACACTGGCCCTTCCTTCCCTATTACTGAAAATCGTGTCCCCTTGGCAAAGCTTTTTGTCTTACTTTCCAGGTACTGCGAATCAAAGTCAAGAAACGAGCAGAGTTTTAAAGTTAGGTTCCTGAGTGCTTGGCTCCAATTCTTCAACACCCTTGAAAGAGCTGTTTCATTAAGTAAGCCTTTGTCCAATGAGAGGTACAATAGCACTTAGGGACTACAAGATGCCCCGTTCGTCTTGATTTTTCTGTCACCCCAGTGTAACAAACTGCTACAGACTTTTATCAAAATGCTGCAGCAGTGGTTGCAAGTGAGTTATTTCGTGTTACCAAGCATTCCATCACATATCACAGGTCACATTTGGATATAACTAGAGGGCCAAGTAAGCGCTACTGCAGTGATTTTGCAAATTCAGCATAGTCGATGTACCCATCGTTGTTCTTGTCATCATCTCTCAAAACACCATCTATTATGTTAATCAGCTCATCTTCGCTCATTAGTGGTGCCTGCTCACTTCCATCCTACAAAACAGAAATCAGACGATGAACTGCACATTTACTGGAGGAAGTGCTTAGCTAATGCCCAAAATGTCCACACTCACACGTGTTCAGAAAGTTCCTTTAATGTAATATATGGCTCTGACTAGCAATCTACAAACCCCTATCTCAGTTTGAGCCTAGCCTGGGCAATTGAGTGACCCTATTTCAAAATGTTTTAAAAAGTTAATAAAAGGCTGAGAATGTAGCTCAGTGTGAAGGCCCTGGGTTCAATCCCCAGTACTGCAAAGAAAGAAAAGCAGCCAGGGCAGCCAAGGCTCACTGGATGGGCCATTCACACCCTTGGCCGATTCCTCCTCCGCCACATCTCCACCCTCTTCTCTCCATGGCCACAGCGATCCCGGTCTTCCACAGATGTGGATCCAGGCTCCCCTGCCTCCCTGACACTGCTCTCCCCTCAGTCCATCACTCTTGACCATCAGTTGCCTCCAGAGCACAAGGCCTTCCCAAAGCCACGTCCCTCTCCTATGCAAACCACCAGTGCTCCCTGCTGCCTTCAAAGAAAACCCCAAGCTGCCCTCTCGGCTGCTCATGTGGTCACGGTGAATCTGAAGGAATGAGATCTTGATTTCAGCTTCCTCACTGAGAAGACGGGAGGCTGTAGTCAAGGGACAGCCAGCTCTCTAACTTGTACGGTATGACAAACCCTCAGCACCCCAAGGCCCTCCATGCTTTGGTGCCCTGATTGCCAGCTTCTCTGCTGTAACAGCTTCCTTCCCCAGGTGACTGGGGCTGTAGCCTGTCTTTTCAGCGCTGGCTCTTCCACTCTTGCCACATAGAAATAAACTAGACACACCAGCCCAATATTTAGTGGCAGCCTGGGGCCTCTGCTCTACAGGGCACCCTGCAGGAAGCAGCAGTGACAGGGAGATGGCAGAACAGCAGGCAGAGGTAGGAGAAGCTGTGCTACAGCAGCACAAGGACAGCACAGACCAGCAGGGATAGGACTCGGCCCCCAGCCGCCGCCTGACCTACCTCCTTATGCACGTGAGTGATGGCTGTGGAGAGCTCTAAGCCATCAAGCAAGTTATTGCCATCGTAGTCATGCATTTTGAAATAATGAAGCTGTAGTTCTTGTGGGGACATCGTCGCCTCTGGTTTGTTAATGACACCTTCAAGATGCTCCATGATATGCCTAGAAACAACAGTCAGATCAGGCCAAAACCGTGTGGACTCTGAAAAGTTCAAGATCTTAAGTTTGAGCTGGAGGCAATGGCACTGGCCTATAACCCTAGCTACTCGGGAGACTGAGGCAAGAGGCTGCTGAGTTTCAAGCCAGACTGGGCGACTTAACAAGACCCTGTTCTTAAAAAATAAAAAATTAACAAAAGGACTGGCTAAGCAGTTCAGTGTAGTTATTGTGTGTTTGTGCACATGCATGGGCATGTCTATCTTTGCCTACTCATCTGTCTGTCTGTCTGTCTGTGATAAGAGAAAGACTGAACTCAGACAAATAACATCCCATCTGGGCCTCAATGTGACACAACGGTGAGAAAAGAAACCCCGAATGAGTGGGATGGGTAGGGGAAGAGTAAAAAGGGAAAAGAAAAAAATGTGAGAGAATGAAAAGATGAAAATAAAGTGTTTGTAGATGGGGAGGGGAGGAGGGGGTGAAGGGAGGGCAGAGGTAAGGGGGAAAAATGAGAATCAAGACTTGTCATGTAGAGGTACAAGATCCCAACAATGAATGTAACTGTACTGTATCCCTAAAATGTACCAATAAACTCAATTAAAGCTGGAAAAAAAAAAAAAGAAAGAAAAGAAAACCTGAATGAGAGGTGGATCTCAGAAAAAAGCACCCTTTTGAGCTAGATAAAAAGGAGGGAAAGGACTGAGGTGCCCTTGCTGGCTGCAGGTGATGGGGAGAGCCCTGCCCGGTGAATACGTACTCTGGGTCGTGCACTGTGTGCTTATCCAGCCCCGCACTGCCGGGATGGACGGCGTTGGCCCCAGGCTCATGGGCTCTGGCACCTGAAGCACAAAAGGCCCATAGCAGGCCGTATAGGAAGGGGGTGCTGAGCAGCCGCAGGGATCTCATGGTCACTGGAACCTAGAAGTGGAAAACACAGAGGTTGAAGGCAGTGCTCTAGAGCTTTCTTTCAAGACCTGACGTATGATGCTTCTGGGGAAGAGAGCACATCAAACTGAGCCTGAGCCTGGCTCTGCTCCTACACTGAGATCACTCAAGCAGGGAGCAGGGTCTACAGTGCTTCCTGTGTACCTTCAGAGAGACAAACAGCTCCATGAATGCTTCAAGGAATTAAAAGATACATCCTGCCCACAAGATTCCAGTCCATGGGGAGTAACACGCCTTCCTGAGAGTACTAAAAAAAAGCAAAGAGGTGGTATACACCTGTAATCCCAGCACTCCTGGAGACTGAGGCAGGAGGATCATGAGTTTAAGCGCAGCCTGAGCAACTTAGTGACTTAAAGAGACTCTATCTCAAAAGTAAAATAATTAGAAAAGGGCTGGCAATATAGCTCAGGGTAAAGGCCTTGTGTTCAAACCACAATCAAGAAAAGGGTGGGGGGGAGGTAGGGAGTGAAGGGTACTAAAGAGAAAAAGAACTCCTGGGAGTTCAAGAGAAGAAATGTCTTTGGATTGCAGAAACTCAGAGCAGGGCAACACTTCAGGTGGGCTGGACAGCCATGATGGAAGGAACAAAGGAATGTAGGAGCTAGGAGGGGCAGGGGCAGACAGGAGGAGAAGAAGGTACAAGCAGCTTTTCTCCTGGGCAGGCGGCAGGAAGCACAGTGGCTAGGGGCAAAGGCCGAGTAGGCCATGCTGGAAACAGCTTTGTACACCAGGCCCAGGGTGCTGATTATTTCCCCAGGATCGATGCGGAACAAGTAACAATTCAAGACTGGCTATAAGATCAAAGCTTGGGCTGCCTGCCTTGCAAACACAAGGTCCCAAATTCGATCCCTGGTACATAAAAAAAAAAAAAAAAAGTATAAAAATCTTAGGGCCAGGGATTTAGTTCAGTGGCGCCACCGCCTGCCTCACAAGCACAAGGGCCCAAGTTCAATCTCCCGTACCCCTCCAAAAATTTTAAAAACAAAAGTCAGAGCCTGGCTTCAGCCTGCTCATCTGGCAGCTCCATGGGGAAGGTACAAAGAGGGGCAGAGTGGAGACAAGACCCAGACCAACCTCTGAGACAGCCAGTATGGCAAAGAGGACATCAACTCCAGCCTCGTCCACCTCCAGGCTGTGACTGCAAGTAACCTACCCGCCATGACAGAGCATGAGAAACATTACAGAGGATCTCTGACAGAGCCCCATCATGTCCTTCTGGAGCTTGGCAAGAGCTGGAATTGTGTCAAGAAGACGTGGTCAGTCATGGAGCCAGCGCTGAGTGCAGAGAGGGTATTCCCTGCCACGGCTCAGACAAGCCATTAGCAAATGTGGCTCTGCTGGAAGTCTTGGTCCTTCCTAAGGCTCTGCGACTGACTCCAGAAAGGAAGGTGAAGGACAGCTGGAGATATATATATATATATATAAAAACTAGGAAAAACCCTGACACATTCATTTCCCAAAAGGCAGAGTTGATTCTGCTGGACAAAGACCACTGATTCCTGAGGGGTCAAGTGCAGCCAGCCACACCTACAGTGGTAAACACAAATCAGAAGATGCTGGCCGCTACCTACTCACCCTGTGCCTGGGGTTCGACAGCAGAGGTGTCGCAGCCCCGCACCCATCCTAAAAGGCTCTGAGGGTAGGACACTGAGAGTATATGCCTCCTATGGCATTTAGAAAAATGTCCCAAACCCATTCAGCCCGACACTTTCCATGGCACTTTCCCTAGAGTGGACAATGAGATGTGTTACTTTCAGGGTGCTGAAAAACAAAATTTAGCCTTACAGCTGAGCAGTGACTTCACAATTCAACCTGTCATACTGCACAATAAAGTGTTCAACATGCATCCTGGTGCACGCCTGTAATCCTAGCATTCCTGCTGAGGCAGGAGGATCACCATGAGTTCCACGCCAGCCTGTGCCATATAGTGAGTTCAGGACCGCCTGAATCACAATAGTGAGACGTTGTCTCAAAAAAAAAAAAACACTTTTGTAAAAAGGTGTAGTACACATTTCACACACAATAAAAACTACTAACAAAGACTGTCTTGCATCACAAGACTAGGAGTGATTATATTTTATTTTTTTATTGCTTCAAAATGGCCATTACAAACATTTTTCTTTATAAATACATATTTAATATAATCACTTGCATAATTTTGTTCCAATACTATATGGATAGGAGAGTTTCCAGTTCATTCTTATTTCCAGAAATTAATTCAGGACAGCCAGAGCCACACTTTCAGTTTTACCAAATAAAAGTGTTCTGATCCCAGCAAGGCCACTGCCACTGTACCTAGTGCCAGAAAGCAAGGTCTCAAGTCACTCCCAACAGTGATTGTGGGCCAGAGCAGAACCTGTTCTGAGCACACATCTTACAAATTCTGGGACAGGAGCCCTTCTGAGCCCTTCGGATATCCCCGCACCTGGGGTCCGGCTGAGGTGCTCTCCCCAGAGGCTCCCACCAAAAGGCTCCTGTCCATGGCTAAAGGCAGCTAGGAACACCGTCTGGGAAACCCTGATGACTCGCCAACAGGAGAGGATATTCTTGGCACTGGACACAAGGCTGGCACAGGGGTCCTTGGGGATGGAAGATCAGTGGCAAGTTTTAATACTAATGTAACTGAGGATAAAACTCTGGAGATGTCTACCAGACAGATGGCTGTGCTGAGAGACATAGAATCCATAGCACCTTTTCCTAACTACACGCATGAATGCTTAGTGTATCAAATTGGAGTGTGTGTGTGTGGGGGGTCTGTATAGGTAATAATTCCAAAATGCAATCAAGTGATTAATAATACAGGAGCTGTGGGTCTAAATTTATCCCCTCTTCAAGGGAAACAGCACAAAAGTCAACAATCATCAAAGTTAAACTTGTCCCATTTTGACTTGCTGTTGCAAGTTCTAACCATCAAAACACAATAAATGGCAAATCTATAAACATATAAAAGGAAAAAACTCAGGCTGGGGATTTGGCTCAGTGGTTCCACCGCCTGCCTCACAAGTGCAAGGGCCTAAGATTGATCCCGGGTACCAAAAAAAAAAAAAAAAAGATTTAAAAAAAAAAGGAAAAAACTCCAAGTGCTGCAATGACAACAGGAATCTGACTGCCACCTTACAAACTGAACTGCTTACATTCAACAGGAGACACAGCTACTCTATTCTACCCAAAGAACAAATTGCATCATCCACACTTGGGCAGCTATTCAGCTCAAGGCCACAGGCAAACAGCCTGGAAGATAAGCCCCAGGCATTCCCAATTTACTGCACTTCTGGACTCATAAAGGCCAGGCTGGAGGAAAATCCAAGAGAAGACACATTTCTGCAAAGTGATTTCAGACCACAATCTATGCCCTGACATCCCTCCCAAGGAGCAGCCTCAACCCAGGGAGGTGCTGGACCATTGTCAGTAGTGGGCACGGAAACTGGCTCCCTTCCCTACCCGGGCAGCCTCTTCCTGTCCCACACCTTTGCCCACACTGGTTCCATCTGCCCAGTGCTTCCTCCTAAGGCAGGTTCAGATGTCACCTACAGATTCTTCCAGCCAGCACTGGCTTAGTCCTCCTCTGACCTCAGTCTGCAGCCTCTCACACTCACTTAACCTGAACATGGTCACATACTGTTCTGTTTTTCTCTTTCCCTCTCTAAGGACCACCCATGCGTGGTTAGCAGGTCTTACACTGCTGAGCCCAGCTGATCTAGGGTAGTATGCCCTCAGTCTGGGTCAGGGAAACGGGTCTGGCACCCAGGCATGTTGTTCCTTATGGGTGGGTGGATCTGGAACTTCCCTTGGAGGCCTTTCACTACTGGCTTGGCCTAGCCTGCACTTCCCTCTCACCAGCACATGAGAATTTGAAGCCAGCTTTCCTCTAGCAGCTGCTGGCAGCTTTTCCTCCAGCCAGGGGCCGTCGGTTACAAATTCACTCTAGAAGCAGTCACATTCACCAACATCCAGACAGGTAACTGGAACCAATGCCAAAGAAAGCCCTGACCCGTTTGCCATTACCATCATTTTGAACTAAAGGCAAGAAAATAACCAAGTTCCTTAGGCTAAAAAAACCTCTACGTTGGCTGCCAGCTGAGAATCGGTCCTGAAAGAGCTGGCATTGAATAGCTTGATCTGTTTGTTCATTTGCGGGGCCCAAGGGGCAGTCAAGTTTTATCGATGCATTAAACTAACAAACAAATGGTCTGGTACTATATGAACAATAGCAGAATAGCCAGAGGTACTAAGGACAGGATTGTGACCCAGGCAAGACTCCCCGCACACAGGTTACAGCTTGGTAGACAGGACAGTGAACAGACACCCACGGGATATGGTAGAAGCCCCAACTCCCACGTGGAATAAAACGTGATGCGTGAGGCTTCTTTCAACCAAAGGAAAGCGCCTCAGACAGAAACAACCCACGGAATGAACAGCTAAGCCCAGAGGGGACTCAGTGCAATCTAGAAACTAAGATTCAATATAGTTGAACGCACAGCACAGCGGAGAAGCATAAGTCTCGAGTGATGTACAGAGAGGACAGGTTACAAAAGGTCTTGCAGCCCCGCATGGTGGCACAAGCCTGTAATCTCAACACTCTGGAAGGCTGGGGCAGGTCCAACCTGAGCAAGACTCTGTCTCAAAATATTTCTAAAAGGTCTGGGGATGTAGCTCTGAGCAAAGGCTCTGGGTTTGATCCCCAGTACTGCAAACCCTGTGCAAGAGCTTGAAAGAGCTAAGGGAATCTCCAGGAGGGTAAAAGAATGGGAAGAGAGTCAGGGATCTGTGAGATTTAGGTTGAAGATCATGGTTCTAGCTTCCCTGTACTGAAAAATCGACAGAGGACCAAGAAAGGATACAAAGGAGCACCCAGGGCTCACTGAGGGAATCCGGAGAGGAAAAGAAGGTGGCCCGAACCCAAGGGGCGGAGTGGACGGGACTGCAGGTCTCTCTCGCGGGGGGCAGAGACGCCTCGGAGCCAGCCAGAGGCGGGGTCCACAGCCTGGTCCTGGGGTCCTGGGGTCCTGGGCCAGCCAAGAGGTCGGAGACCGACCAGGCCAGCCCCGACGGGCTCTTCCAATGTCCCCAGCGCGGACAGACTTCCGCCCCCAGAGTCAGGCCCTTCTCCCAGCTGCGGAGCCCCTCACCCAGGCGCTTCTGCCTCCGGTTCCCGGGAATCCTCCCACTGAGGACGTTATCCGAGTGTCGTCCACGGACCTCAGCCCTACGTATCAGGACTGCACCACTAGCCAGTTCACTCACCCTCACTGTCCCCGCCGCGGATGCGAGGCCCTCCGGGGTGAGCCTCGCCA